TTAAAACTGGTGGTATGCTTGCATAAAATGATAAGACAAGCTACAATTATATAGGGTATAGAAACACACCTACACCGTGGCAGGTGTCAGGGTACTCCCAGATGACTGATCTTATGTTTTCCAGATATGTTACTATCCTGAAGTGTCTGTCCAGTAAATAGCAGCTGATAGTGACTAAATGCCAGTGTCTATGTATATACAAGCAGACAAGATAGATATTTCTTTTTATGAAGTGTGTTGTTCAATATCACACATTCCAAAGGGGAAGAAATTGTTTGAAACACAGCTAGGCTTGCAAAGTGCAAAGCGCATGGAATGTGCAGAATAGTGCTCCTAATTCCTGATAAAAATGGAAGAATTGTGTGATAGAGAATGACCAGAAGACTCATTTTAATCCCAAAGGGACTGGGAATAGGACAGAGGTACAAAAGCAGAGGGTAAAACATAGATTTTAAATATTATAAAGCATCAAAATGCAGTAGAATGCATACACAGTTTTCCTTCTGGGAAGAAGACAGTGTGTTTGCTACATCTAATGAATGTTGGCGATACCACTTAGTGCACTGCTGAAGCCACTAGGACACCACAATTAGATGAGAAATTAAGAATAGCATAAACAATAATCTGGATTTCTATCAGGTTAAGACTCCAAGTAAAGTTATTTCATTGTAGCTTGTAAATTAATGGCCTGTAAAGGGAGAAAACCTTTTATTATTAATAGTGATCATCTTGTCCACAGGTGTTTTCGGAGAAAAAATCCCCCACATTTAACTGTTCATTCACATATAGTTCACTAGTCACTATGATACTGGTGTGATTATATCTGGAATTAATCTTTAAGATTCAGTGATAATATTCTAGTATTTTTATTCAAGTTTGGCTTTTAACCAGGAAATAGACAAGATTAAAACCCACATATAATCCAGTGTTACATTTGTTTGGGAAGAAGCGGGAAAAAAAAGGTTTACTTTCCATTTGTTTATAAGCACAACCAGGAAAGCTAACTTTAACTTCATAATTCTTATTTTATGGATGAAAGTAGAAAATAATGTTAGTGAAAAAAGCAGATGTCTTTTTTCTTTCTTTCTTTGAAGCTTTATGTTCTTTGACTTCCTTTTCCCTTTGGCACAAATTTGCTTAACCCTTTTTTCAGGGGCAATTACAGTAATGAAGATCTGCAACATTTATTGCTGAATTGGAACAGCTGAGCGGGAAGGGGTAAGTCAGAATGAATTAAAATGATTTCATAGAGCACACACAAAGCCTTTGTGTCATAAAGAATGGCTGAGTAAATAGCAGATATTTGCTTGCTGAATAAAAAATAACACTAAACAGCCTTGAACGCTCTCTGGCTCCCTTACATTCTCAGTATCAAGTGCTAGGATGTACCCAGCATCAATGTATAGTTTTGGGAGTACAAAGCTCCTCTGTATTTTGCTAGTTAGTCTGGGTTTTCAGTGGTTTACAATTCAACAGTTAAAAATTACTCTACTGTCATATTTTGCATGTAGGTTTTTTGCTGTCGCAAAGGTTTTATCCCCCTCACTTTTCCTTCCCATTGTTAGAGACAGTTTGTGTCAGGATAGTGGTGAAGACCTGAGTTGAAGTCCTGAGGTCATTTCCTGGTTTCTGGCACTAGTCATGGCCAAAGATAAACACTCTATCTCAAGTCTTTATTTTGCTCCCTACAGTTTCCTGTTTCTTTACTGTGGAATTGGAGGTGCTCCTGGACAGCCTCCAAAATTGCTGGGAGAAGGACTCTTTTGGTCCTAAAATAGGGAAGGGGAGGAAGGACCAAAAGACATTACTGAGCAAGTCCCATTTTTGTTAACCCACTTTTTGTTAAATATAGATGTGAGTAAATCAGGAATTTGAATTTAAGATCATTTTGTTCGTGAGGGAGAAAAAATCAACTGTTTAACCCTCTAAAAGTTTACAGTTTATTAGCTCTATGTTTTTTTCTTTTAAGATGGGAGTATTTTATACCTTAGTCTCTTATTTCCTAGTCTGTCACAGTTGACATGTACTGCAAACTTGAATAGCCATAAAAGCCTCAAATCATCTATGTTAAGATCACTAATGAGTGATTAATATAAGTATTCAGACTATCGGGAGAGCCTGTGTATTTTTGAAAATATTTTCTGTAAGTATCTGACCCTAATGCTGTCATAAAATAACAGTTCTGGAAGCATCCCTGCTCTGGCAAAGAAGTTTCTTAACACATTAAGTCTTTTGAGATCTGTGTGCATATATCTGAGATAACATAGTTTAAAAATACTATATATGGCATGACTACATGGCAATAAAAAGTAATTATTATGCATTTATGCATACCACATGTGCTTTATAAAACTGGTGGGAAGGAATTTTTCCAATGATCATTCACATGCATGTATAGAAAAAATATTTTTCCCCTGAAAGCCATCAAAAATGAGAAAATTCCAACACTGCTACATAAGCAAGATGCTATGTGAAGTTTATTATTGGCCATTGTTTCCTGAGTGTTGATAAAGATTCTATGCACCAAGTCTTCTACTACATCTCTTAGGCAGATATTATACAGTTCTGTATTCCTCTCTGTCAAGATAGCCTCCCAGAATTTTGCTGAAGTCTTTTATGGGAAATGTGTTGTAACATACAATCGCAATTTGCAGTGGGTGAAACTGTGTGACCCCACTTTTTACATTTTCACTTTCTCAGTTCATAATTATAAATGTGGACTGTAATGATACCATTGAGGAGACTGAGGCTGACATGAAATAGGAGGTCAATGACTTGGGCAAGCATAAAGCAGTTGTAAAGCTGGCTTTTAATTCAAAGCATAGATGGAAAAGTTAGTAAGAAACCTCCCCCAAAATTAAACATGTTCCCCAAAGCTCTAAATCTATTGAATATGGAACTGAACAGGGAAAAATCACATCATTGTCTTTTCTTTTTTGTTGTTGAAGAAGCTTTAAAATTGCAGTGAACATTTTAATATTTTTAAAAGGAGCAGTAGTTAACTGTTGTACTAAGTACAGAGTTGTCTGTATTTCTGTTTTCTTGCAAATAATTTTACAATTATTATTACAGTAATTCTTACTAGTATTGCCTTCTTTTGTATATTTGCCAGTATGGTTTATTCCTCCAGAATTTGTTTATCTAGACATTTTTGAAGTTGTTTCTGACAATGGCTAGTAAATACAAAGATATACTTCACTACTTTCTCTTCATTTCAAGGATGACAGACCATCTTTAACAATGTCAGCACTTAGATGTTCTTTCAGCTATTTTGCCCCTTCCATATAATTGTTTTTGAAATTATATTTTTTCATAACAGAACATATGCAGGTAAATCAAAACTAAATGGCATCTCTTACAGAGATTGTAAAGCCTGGGAAACACACATAAGAAATCTTGCCAACGTTTCCTTTTCCAACTTCATAACAGTGTCAGTAACTGTACTGTCTCTAGCTGAATTGTCAAAACACCAAATTCCAAACAAAGAACTCTGTTATGTGAAAATACCCCGATCTTTCAATTTATTTTTTTTCAAAATGCAATGTAAATTCATATAAACCTTTAATATATGAACTTACCTCTGCTTCCCTGAACTTGGAGAGCAAGGCAAATGATGAAAAATATTAATCCAGTTTTCAAATGCATGCTGTCTATTGATCACTCACAGTTTTCAAGATCAATCATGCAGGAAATAAGAATATTTAGGTCAAGTAGAAGAATTTTGTTTTCTTAAAGAACTAAAATCCCCAAGCGTCTTCCCTCTTACTATTTTTCAGGTGTCCCCAGCCTTGGACTGCATTGAATTGCAACGAGGCAAAGAGTGCAACAGGTGCCAGAATGCAAGAGCTGGACAAAGCCCTCCAACGCACAGACTTGTAGCCTGGGGGACTGGAGTGGTAAGACAAGAGTGACGAAGTTTTAAAAAAAAGCAGTGTCTGTTTCTGGAATAATCTGTTTATCTGCTGCTCAGACATAATCCCTCTTACAGTCCAGCTGGAAGAGCTTTCTTCATCTTATTAACCTTCTGGGGCAGCATCTGTCAACCCCAGAAGTCTTCAGCAGCACCATGATAAACAACGGAAGTCTCTTCTAGTGCCCACTGCCTTTGGGCATTCCAGAGGTATGGCATGTGTGAGAGCTAATTGTGCTATTTCCAAACCAGTTATCATAAAACCCGGGGAACTTCCTTTGAAGAGAAAGACAGCTTTTTCTGAAAGAACATACTATACTCAGCTTTTCCACTGCATATGTCTTGGAAGCCTCTCTCCCTTCTCATACCAAAAGATTGCTGTTGCAATATTCCTATCAGAGCAGTGATGATGATGTTCTGTGACAGCAGTGAAATGATGTGACTCAGCAGTAAATTGCAGCAGTGTTCAGGGCTGGCACAATCTGATGCCAAACTGGGAGTGGGGGAGGGAAGGTGCTGCATGGAGGGAGAATAAGAAATGGTGTTGAGAAATGCTGTTTCAAGCACATAGCTATAACCAGGCCAAGAATTGGCAGTGAGTGAATACACTTTTCAAACAGCTCTGTTCCGGTTTCCCAACTAACTATTCCGGTTACATATTTGGCATGTGTAAGTGTTCCATACTTACTTTTTATTTTCCAGAATGTTTTTTACTGTTGCATTACACCCAAAAAAAGCTACCAGGTGGGCATTTGTAGTGGTCTGTCCCCCTTAGAGATTTTTGTGCAACTGTGCTTTAACATAGGAAGTATCTAGACTGGCAGCAAGAATCTGTAAATACAAGTTACTTTAAGAACAGCCTTCATTTGAACCCAATCAGTATTATATTTTTACTTAGTTTTTAAACAACGGTAACCTCCCTCCTGAGACTGCCTAATTTTAACTGCTCAAACCAGCTAGTACAGAGACTGGGCTCTGTATATCATATATATAATCATATATCTGGGAGATATATGATTACAAAGTACATTTTAAATAACCTCCAATCTTTCTCTGGTATTCATTATTTTCACAGGAGCCAGATCGGTACCTGGCAGCCAGCATGCACCAGGCACAGCTTTAGGCTTCTGATTAAAAGTGAGGAAACCTGGGTTCTTCTGCTCCCTTCTTTGCTGTTGAGTTTGGCCAAACCAAGTGCTCTCAACCTCCATATCTGCAAATGGAGGGGATGACCCTGGGAGAGCTAGAAAAGCCTCTGTGGGAACAAACAAGATAATACATGTAAGCAAGAATGGCTTTTTCCCCCCTTTCTCATGCGTTAAAATGTAGATAAAGTATTTCACAAGTTAGTATTTTAAATTTTTTAAAATAATATTTTATTTTTAGATATTCTGGTTTGCATATCAAAGTTAGGCATCAGCAGTAGTCCTGTAGTGGGTTTAAAGAGGTTGTCATGAAGAGCACAAATTGACTTTTTGCTCTTTGAGCTTTTCCAGTTGGGCAGTATTTGTATTTTGCCCTCTATTGCTGCCCAGCCACCATGTTTTCTTTTTCTTATTGAACTAATACAAGATTTACATTTAGTCAGTAAATTAAATAAAAAAGACAAATAAACACACATCTCTCAGGACAGTTAAAAAATACCTATGTTTTGTTTTCTGTTTTTGTTTATATTTCATAGACAATTCCTCTTTCTGGTGTCTCTCCTTAGTAGCAGGGAACAAATATGATTACAACAGGGAAAGCCAGCTTGAAACTAAGCAAAATATTTTCTCCTTGAAAGAACAGATCATTATGCTTGCAAATGTTCTCTTGTTTTTCAAACCAATTGTACTTTAAAACCGATTTCTTCTGGAAATTCTTACATTCTTCCTTCAGAACTGAATTCAGCCAGTATATCCTGGAAGAATGCCATATAACTCACTTTGCTGATGGCCATAGACAAGTGATAGCATTGGGATAATGCACTACATTTCTATTGGGGTGTCATTAAAATAATAGTAATGCAGCAAATGCTGTGGAAATGAAGTTAGTTTTTAGTCTAAGTAAATGCCAGAAGTGGAGTAATAATTTGGTTTAGAATAAAGCAGTAAATTCGAATTGCAAGAAATAGCCAGTTAAGAGGTTATCAGTGACCCAGAAGTTCAAAAGAAATTCAGAGATTAAGGTTCTGAGTTGCTGACTGTGCAACTGAGTTTTTAAATCGGCCTCTGTACCAAAGGAAAGAGTTTTCAGAAAGGTTTCAGTACAACTCTGGAGAATTGTATTTCAGCAAGTCTAATTTTTGTACTGGGCAAATTGATAGAAACCATAATAAAAGAAATAAGCACAATAACAAGAATGATCTGGCTGATACAATATCCTTGGACAGCCAACAGTTTTTGATGAGGTCTGCTCTTAAAGAAACTAAGCTGTCATGGAGTAAAAAGAAAAATCTTCTGTATTAATAGCTTGTTAAAAGATGAGAAATAAGGGAAAGAAAGAAGCATTTCAAAGGCTAGGTGTTAGATTATGCTGGAAGAGGGGACAAATGATAAGGTAACAAAATTTGCTGGTGGTACAGAATTGCTCAGAAGATTAGCTGGGTGTTTGATCTGATCCAACATGACTACTCGTAGGCACTGAGCTGTAGTCCCTAACTCAGACTAACTTGCCATTAAGGTCAAGCTTACCCAGTAGTTATAACAACTCCTGCTCAGACTAAACAGTGCAGCAAACTCATCCATTTTCTGTGATACCTCTCTCCTCCAAAACAAGGAGCCTGATGCTCTGTTCTGCAGTTGCAGCAAACATTGTGGAATTCTAGTCTGAACACAAAATTGAAGCAAGTAATGCATTAATGCAGTTCTTTGTCTCCTTTCATGAACATAAGCCTAGACCTCTTCTGCAATTAAAGATATCTCCAAGATTCTATGGGGTCTTTAAAAAGCTTTGCCGTTTTGCTGTTACTAACACAGTTATGAAGTCCTAGCACCCCTATTTAGAATGAGAAAAAGTATTGTGTGCATACATTTACATGACGAGTTACAGATATATCTCTGATGACTGCTTGACCCCATCACCTGTGCTTTCTTCTGAAACTTTTTCTATTGTACACCCTTAAAGGGATTAATGTATTTAGATGTTGTTTAGTGTGACAAGGGAGATAAGGGTATGAAAAAAGGATGGTATTAACTGAGTAATTCAGCATAATTATGAGGAAAATACCCCAGCCTGACTGCTGCTTCAGGATGATCACTGATAAACAAATTATGCTCATGTTGATAGTTATATGATCTTTCTTTGGTATCATCAAACATCTAAATGGAATTAAAATGATTTTTTTCTAGGGGGCAGTGATACAGCAAGCTGACCATTAGCTTCCAGTCAGTGGAGATAAAGGCTACAGTACATCTGCTCAAACAGATTATCATGCACTTGCTTGCATACCAATACACAACTTTCTGTTATTCCTGGAGCTGCTTAAGCTTATGTCATGGGGAGCCATAATGAGCTGAAACATGTTTCTGCCCATGCTTGACAAGTTGTTTTTCTCTTGATGCTTGGAAAGGATCTTTCTAGATTTAGCTGATAGAGTTAACTGATGGATTTACTATTTCCAAAACTGTCCTCAGCAGTAACAAATTAATTTGAACGTTGTATTTATCAGCTATTAAAAATTCAAGCTATCAAATATGTCTCTGTACATGAAGCAAGCCTCAGAGATGTGGTCTTTTACTATATGTGTTGTCTAATCAGAAGCAGGAAACATAGAAGTAGCTGGTAGATCAGTTTCTTTTTATGGTAATGGGAGAAGATGTTTAGTAGTGAGTGAGAAGGCAAGAAGGGAGATATCTAAAGTGTTAGGTGTGCTTGTATCTTTATACTAGTGTAGTTTTTCCCTCTTTCAGAGATGTGGCATGAGATAATAGTTACTTTTTATTGCTTAGCCTAATGCTGTTCAGTTTTTTCTTTCACAGTTTTTCTTTCAGTTATTCCTTGTCATGCATAGTGGCTGCCTTTGTTCATCAGTGTTTTACTTTCTAGATTTACCACGTGAGAGTGAAGTATGAAGTGACCGTATTTCCTGTGCACAGGACTGATCTGGTAGGCAAGAGTTTTTGGCTCAAGAAAAGGTCTTGCAAAAAAACCTAGTATGTGCACCAGTGTTGTGTGGCACTGACGCTGTTGAAAGGAGAGAAATTAAAAATCTACCCAGAAAGATAAAAATATGCACAAATGTATGGAAATTTCTTATCTTTATGGTGGAAACTCTATTTTTTTTAATACTTATCTTAACAGTTTCTTATTCTCCTTTTCCAGGAGGGGTGGGTGTTGCTTGTGTTTTCTGCAAGGGACAGGTGACAGTCAGCAGGACTCTTACGGACCTCACCATACCTTGGAACATCCTGATCTGTATGTGTGATGATAACTGTCATTAACAAAGTTAACAGCTGTGGTAACATGTAGTTCCAGCAACAGTAAATATCCAAATTTAATTCCAATATTGTCTTAACAAATGTAGGAAAATTGGAAGAAATAGTGTGGAGCTTGCATTTAACTAGGCCTGGCAAGGCTTGGAGAATTATTTAAGTAATCTAAACACTGCTGTTATCTATACTATTGGTCTTTTTGCTTCAGTTACTTTCAGTAATAAACCTACTGTGTTTGAACTCAGAGGAATGCTGTGAAAAACCTCTTCTGTCAAAGATGCTTTGAGAAGCAGGTTATATGTCAACTTTACAAGTATTGGCCTCTCATCTAACAGGCTTGTTTTATGCTTTTGATAGATTCTTGTCTCTTCTCTATCCAGCGAACAGTATCATACTTATCACTGTTTACATAATGGATTCTGTGTATGTGCAGAAGCTGTTTTTCCCAGTGGTGTTGCTGCTGGGTCCCTCCATGGAATCTCACACAGTTAATGTCGATGTTGTGGTTACCACCAATAAACTCCTTTATGGTTTATTCAGTATAATATTACCAGTGTGACATTGCCATTATTCAGATCATGCTTTGTTCCTTGTACCATTAGTCACCTTATCTTAGACTGCTAAATAAAGTTTTATTATTATTATTTTACATTCTTTCCAAAGGGCTCTGTGCCAGTGGGGCCTTATTCTGCATCTCATAGCTACATTTTTGGAAATGCAGCTGATGCAGACTAAGGATGTGGAAATATTTGCGCTAGTTCTTTCAAACCACGTTATAGTTCTTGTTTGTATTGCTCAGTTGCCCTTTCTCATTTTGATATTCTGTTATTGATAACCTTTAAGGGAAATATCTATTAGGTGAGTTCTTAGTCAGTGTCCATTCCAAACAGAAAAATTTTGAATACCTTTTGACTATTTTCTGTGAAGACAGATATATTTTTATTGTTTCCAAAAGTAGTAATTGTGAAGTTGTTCTCATGTTTAAAAATTGCTTTTTCACTTTCATTAAGCAGCTTGAGAAGTTGCCATATATTATATAGTAAGGTTGCGACCTTGGTTTTCTATGAAAATGTCAATTGCCTCTCACTTCCATTTATTTTTCCTTCTTGCAGATTTGTATTTCTGGAAGTGTTTGCAGTTTCAGAGCACTATTCTACAAGGCCAAATGTATTATACATGGGTTACCCTGCATGCTGAGTAGAGCTGGGATTGTTTAGCTTATAGAAGAGAAGACTGAGGGGGGAATCTTAACAACATTTTTAAATACCTGATGGGAGAGAGTAAAGAAGCAGAACCAGAATTCTCAGTGTTGCCCAGTGGAAGGGTAGGAGGCAATGGGCACAAACTGAAATACAAGAAATTCCACTTGAACAAACTTTTTTAATATAAGGGTGATCAAACACTGGAACAGTGATATCCAGAGAGGTTGTAAGGTCTCCCTTCTTGGAAATACTCAAAACCTAACTGGACGTGGTCCTGAGCAACCTGCTCTAGCTGACCCTGGTCTTATTGTGGAGTTGGACTAGGCGGACTCCAGAGGCCCCTTCCTACCTCAGCCATACTATGGTATTCTCATAGTGAACGAACAGAAACAACTCCCTGTAAAGAGGCAAGTAACTATTTTTCAAATTCGTTTGAGCACCACTTCAGCCTACTGTAGGGCCTCTGTAAACCACATTCAGCTCCAAACAGTATTTTCAATGAGAGACACTCTGATGTGGCAAATATATCCACACACAAAGGTTTTAGAGTATAACCCACATAGAACAGGAAGAATTATTCCATGTACAGTTAGGAGT